ATTTTTCAGTCCAGGACTTAATATGACTACTTATGCAAACACCAATTTATCCAGAACTATTGCAGAACTACAAACACACATAATCAGCCTTCTTTCCATCCGTTTCCATTGTAACGAAAGATCATTCGCACCACAATGTTTGGCTGCAAAGTAAATCACAACACAAAACAGGCAAGAACCATAAACTCGTTATTAAACAAAGCAAACAAAAGGGTAATTCCTCTTCAGGAGCCACAGGAGGGCAGTTACTTGTGGCTATTTTCATTTATAAACACAAAGAGGTTCAGCAACATGATCCTGCCTCAACCGACTCAACCATATTATTGCTATAAATCCACATTCAATTGCTTTATCAACAAGTGTGCAAACGTCGTGTCCATTTTTGGAAGACCAAACAAAGTAGTTTCGCTTTCACAACGAAATACACGTCGTGCTTGAGTGAGCGGAGGTCGGCGGATTCGACGAAGGAGCGTCTGGCAGGCTTGCGGCAACCACATGTGACGACCCCGGGCTGGACTCCGCTTCGTCCACGGTGAAAGCCGATCCGGCGATCCACAGCGCAAAGTTGATGTATTTCCTCAGCGACCAGCATGGATCAGCTCCAGGCATGACGAAGCGGATATCGTCCTCTTTTGGAAGACCAAACAAAGTAGTTTCACTTTCACAACGAAACACAGCGCCTTCACGTCATGGCGGCGGCAACAACAATGCTACAGCGAGAATAAAAGTTACGCTTTCTTTCTTTGCGTGAACTTTTGGGCGGCATTATGCAAATCTTCCCACATAGTGATGTAGACATGTGGGGGCGTGTTAGAACGAGCCGTTTTAGGTAGGCGTGGTTGACTCTTAACTTTTATAAAGAATATCTCTTTGGATTTGAGACTTTAGTCTTTGCAACTTTACAGATCTTCTTTATGCACCAAGAGCTTGTAACACTCCAAAGAGAAAGGAAAAATTGAAATCGCATCATATGACCCCTTTAAAGCCAGTGCATGGATCATCACTTCAGTGAAACTCCAGCGATGTTTTCTGCAGTCTGAATAAAGCACAAGAGCACCGTGATCACGTCGCAGCGGTAATGCGGTGATTATCTGGCTGGTATTTCAGCGGTAATGCGGTGAGACATCAGTTTGCGTCGCAGCCAGTGCCAGAGAGTGAGATCAGGATCTAGCAGTATCTCTCCTGGCTCGGTACGCTACACATAGAGAGCGGACAACAGCTGACCTCCTGTTTTTTGCTAGCGAGGGAAAGTGGTGATTGCATTTTCCCCCTAATTTACTTCTTGATTCCAGTTTGTGCTGGACCGCGACCAGTCGCGCAATTAAGTGCAGAGAAACTCGGCTCTGGAGGACAAAACTCGGGAAATAAGAGTAATAGAGTCGATAGAGGATCGGCTTTCACTCCATCCGCTCTGATATGAGCAGATTATGAAACAGCAGGCGAGTTTTAAGAGGAACACGGCGGCAAGATCTGACGTACGGCTGAAGAGGACTAGACTGAGGGAAATGCAACAGGGAGAGACGTTCGGACAGGTGAAAATAAAGCCCTCGCTCACATCTGCTGGCTTCGTGCATGAGATTTTAAAGACAACTGACCCTCCACTAGAATCACCATCATTTGGAGTCAATTCAGCTGAACAGAAGTGCATGAAAAGTGTCTCTGAAATAGCCATACTCAGTATACAGCACATCAAAAAGTCAGGAGACATGACGATTATGCCAACGTTCGCTTTACAAAATGGGCCAAGAAATCAAACAAAGACATTTCAGGGATGCTGGAACTACTTTGAAACTTTAGCCTGACCAGCCGTCAAGCTGCCATTTGAATGTGTAGTTACAGTAGCAACACCTTAAGCTACACATAAAACAATATTAAAATTATATCGTTAAAATAAAATGTCTATTATTAATTATCAAATAGAAAAAATATATAAAAAATATTTACATTTCTAAAATTAATTATTAAATATACAAATATAAATTGAATGCAAAACTGATCTAGGTAGAAAATAGAATAGCATAAAGAAGTATAATAATTATTAGCAATTACTATTATTCATAGTTAAATATAAAAAATTAAATAAAAATAAACTATGAGAAAGATATCAGATGATACAACTTTTTATCTGGCGCAAAAAAAAGTCATTTAGATCTTATTTAGAGTTACAATACACTTGAATGCATAACTCTACACATCATATTTTACAACTGCTACATACAATGGTGGCCAAAAAGTATTTTCAGCAGCTACAAAAATGGTTTTAAGTCAGTTATTTCTATCTTTTGCTGTAGTGTGTCAGTAGGAAATATCAGTTTACATTTCCAAACATTCATTTTGCCATTAATTGTAATAATCCAGTGAGATTTTTGTTTGCTGCACACAGAGATCTGATCTGATCATCATCAGTCTGTCTGGAATGACGTGAAGAAACAGAACAAACTGAGACAGACTCAATCCAGAAGAACTGTGGCAAAGTCTCCAAGATGCTTCAAAAAATCTTCCTGCAAAGCTATACAGTACTGTGAAAAGTTTTAGGCACTTGTGTAAAAATGCTGTAAAATGAGGATGCTGTCAAAAATAATGTCATAAATAGATTTTCTTTATTAATTAAATTCTATTAACTAAATTAAATCAACATTTGGTGTGGCCATCCTTTGCGTTTAAAGCAGCTTTTGCCCTCGGTCCACTTCCGCATAGTTTTTCAGGAAGCTTTGCAGGTAGGTTTCTTGAAGCATCTTGGAGACGTTCAGTCTTTCTAATGTTAGTTACATTCTGACCATTATTTCAGCTTATTTGAAAACAAAACAATGTGACAAAACCGTAGCACAAGAATCAGAACAACGACCCACTGGATAGACTGATGCAGTGCAGAAACTTTCAGCTTCACTGGCACCATTCTGAAGGAAAAATAGTCACTGGAAGCTTTATTTTTAGGAGTGAACTGAAGCGTTAACTGCTGTCTATGCTGGTGTTGACATAAGGAAAATGGAAGAATGCTGGACAGCTTGACACCAGATGATCTCTGCTCTGTCAACCAGTAACACAACAATGGCAAATACTTCATCCATCCACCAAACAGTCAAGCAAAGACTCACAGATGTCTCACATGTTTCAGTCCAAGCAGTCGAATAAAGTCACAATCTGGTTGTTGAAACAATCTCCTACAATGAAGCATCAAGCATAAAAATAATCATTCTTTATTGGCATCGATGGTTCCATGAAGAACCTTTAACATCCATGGAACCTTTCCATTGTTTAAAAGCTTCTTTAGATTATTGAAAAATTTTTTTTTTTTAAATGAAAAAATGGTTCTTTGAAGAACTTTTCATTGAAAGGTTCATTGGGAAACCAAAAATGGTTGTTCTATGGCATCACTGCAAAAACAACAACTTTTGGAACCTTTATTTTTAAGATTTGGAATCTTTCCATTCCACAAAAGGTTCTTTAGAACATTAAATGTTATTCATACTAAGAAAAACGGTTCTTTAAGAACTGATCAATGAAAGGTCCTTTACTGGGAAGAATGGTTCTTCTATGGCATTGCTGCAAAACCCCCTATATTTTTAGAGTGTAGTATAAGCGTTTTCTTTATGAGGGGGATTTTGTCTCCATACAGAGGGTCTGTTATCCGCAAGGCCAGACCCGGAGAGCTGGGTGTTTAAAACCCTACTGTGAAAAACTCACGCAAACAAAGCATTATTCTTAGAGAATAACCTCTGTGTGTTCCTGTTGGAAAATCACCTCTCGGCTCGCCCCATACACACCTCTACCGCTGTCCAGAGGTGCTGCTATAGCGCTGCCACAACAGAGCCGTCTAAACAGCGCGTTTCACTGGGCCGCAGCTGCAGGGTTTCTACTGTAAACACGGCTGCAGGATCCCTCACACGAGCGCTGCCCGCCTGAATCTCCGCCATCACAATCAGAGCGTACAGCCACACTTCACAAATAAACCCCAGAACACAGAAACTGGAGAAAGACTTCTGTTTCCTCAAGAGCTCACACACAACCAGCTCCATCAACAACCACATTCACATGCACAAACATATTCCTGAATCAGTACTAAATTGTGCTTTATTACATTATATTTTAACTACATATTCGGATTTTGAATTCATCATAAAGTTGCAATTGTTTTTTTGTGTTTTGGAAAGAAGTCTCTTATGCTCATCAAGGATGCATTACACAAAATAATGATCTTTAAAAAAGCATCATATGACCCCTTTAAAAATACAGTAAAAACTGTAATAATGTGAAATATTTTTTCAATTTAAAATAACCATGTTCTATGTGAATATATTTTAAAAAGTCGTTTATTTTTGTTGCAAAGCTGAATTTTCAGCATCATTACTCCAGTCTTCAGTGTCACAGGATCCTTCAGAAATCATTCTGATATGATGATTTGTTGCGCAAGAAACATTTCTGATTATCATCAATGTTTAAAACATATTTTTGTGTAAACTGTGAAATATATATATATTTTTTCAGGATACCTTGATAAATAGAAAGTTCAAAAGAACAGCATTTATTTGAAGTAGAAATATTGTGTAACCGTATGAATGTCTTTACTGTCACTTTTGATCAATTTTATGCATCCTCGATGAATAAAAGAATTGATTTCTTAAAAAAAATAAAATAAAAAATAAAAAATATATATATATATAATCACTCCAAACTAAATATTAAATATTAAAAGAAATGACCATTAGTCAATATGCATACAGGAGTAAGCATCATAAAATTGTATGCATTTTTCCATTTCTTGCACTCTTGCATGTTGTTTAAGTTGCATTAAGTTACTAGCAATCCAAAATGTTTTTCAGAATAAAGTACTAATGAACTCTATGGTCATTGATGCTCTCAAAGACAAGGCTTCTGTTCTGTCTAGCACACGCATTCACACACCTGCAGACTGCAACACGTTTGCCTTCACAAACCACAGAAAATCCATTCAATCCCGTCACATGGAAAGCGTATGAATCGGTTTGCTGTGTTTGACTTACGCATTGGAGGTGGCCAAAGACAGCGAGCTAAGAGATGAGCTCAACTTCCTGCTGTCCCAGAGTCTCACTTCCTGCTGCCTCATCTGCAAACACAGATGCACTTACACATTACACTCAATTATTAACACCTCAGAGAAGCGAACCCATTATAAATGAGTGAATTATTACATTTACATCAAACATAATCATGTTTTTTTTTCTTCCATTTTTAACTGTATGTTTAAGCATGTAGAAAACTTCAGAATTACCTGGTTAAAGCCAGTAGTGATTAAGTTGTCATCTTTGACCCAAAGGACACGAGAGTCTCTATTACCCTGATGACCCTGGACACACTGCGGAGACACAGAGAGACGCATTATCTTTTTTATTTAAAAAATGAAAATGCTTTTAAGCTGTTTTCTTATATAGAGATAGAACAGAGAGATGTATAGAGATGAATGGCTTGTGTTGAAAGCAGATGAACCCTGACGACTGAACGATTGACATCTAAATATACCTCCTCTTCCTGTCCTTTAAAGTTGACTGTGTGTGATGGCAGGCAGATCAGGGCCTGTCTGTGATGTGAATGACAGACGACTAAATCACAATGCTGCCATAATCACTAACAGCAAAACAACACAGTTCAGATGCTGGGAAGAGATCTGTATTTGATACAGAGATTTCTAAAGACACAACTATGTCATTCACTCTGAACGGTCAAAGGTCAAACTCTGCCAGCCTAGATGGTGGATCGATAGAGTCATAAGCTGTAAAAAACATTTACGTGTTTATCGAAATCAAAATTGCAAGTTAGACATTTGAAATAAATAAATAGACCTTAAATATAAATTTTCCTGATCTACTTTGCCTGGGATTTTTTTTCTACATTTAAAAATGCATATTAAAACCATTTTTTGTCTGTATGGAGTCGCGCTGCTCTTTTCAGCAGACTACAGTAATGTTTTCAGGCAAAGACACACGTCAAGACTGTATATCTGTGAACTTATGGAAGAACAACGCTGCACACACGGCAAGGTTTCATTCATCAAGGAGTCCCAAAGAACATAAATGTTTACCAGGATCAAATATAGAAAACAAAGAGACACAAAAATCACATTAATTTGCCATTGTGCTGCTCGATCAGATGTTTGACCGTCAGCTGGTGGTTCATCATCTGAAAAAAGCACTACACACTGTTTTTGAAGCAGGAGTATTGATGGGACGGGTTGAAGAGTGACAGAAGAGGAAGGAGGTGTCAGCGCAGGGTTAGTGTGAGTTTGGGTGTGGAGGTGAACATCTGAGTTTGGATGTGAGCACTTTAGCCTCGTTCAGACTGTCAGCCCAAATCCGATTTTGTGCATATCTGGATGGAATCTGATTTGAATAACTGACTGTCCACACAGTGTATCGCAACTGTTCATATCCGATTTGTGTGTCCATAAGCGTTTTACGCTTTCGTTTTATGGAATGTGCGTTGGTTTCTATGGCAATGCCGTTGCGTTGTTATGCCAACCTAAAAACAACAATAAATAACAGTGTGACGAGGGGGTGGGGCCGAGAGCCGTGGGAATTGAGCGAGGCCGGTGGAGTAAATGCTAATGCACGACACCTGCGCCACTCACCGGTCTCGAGTCTCACGGAGGAGCTCCGAAAGGATAACAGGAGGAGTGACGACAGTGTTGGACGAGAGAGGACCAGGCCTGGATTTTATTTTGTGTTTTGTGTGCGGCAGTCGTCCGCGAGGGGCTGCCGCTTTACTTTCGTTTTGTGTTTGTTTATTTGATTAAAGTTTTGTTTAAGTGTTCGCCGGTTCCCACCTCCTTCTTCCCAAACTACGAACGTTGTTACAAACAGCAATACAGTTTGCAATACAGAAGTTGTCTTACGACATGACATAACATGTTGCCGTCGCGCTGGATTATTATTATTATGGATTTCGTCTTATGAGGCAGCGGCAGAAACGCAGGAAGCTGGAATGTGCGGCTTTATTCCGTGCTGCTGTCTCCGCTGGTTTCAACACTCAAAAAGGTGAGTATACTAGCAGTATATTGTCTTTTTCCGCTTGACTTGCAGTTCGCAACACAAGCTTGTTTCTGTAAAGACGTTCATTATGTTTTCTACAAAAAAGTTTTTACGTTTTACGTGGCGTGAAAACGTGAAAAAGCTAGGCTAAATCCGATCTGAGTGGTCAGACTGAAACGGATTTCCAGGAATGCAATTTGAATAGGATTCCAAACCACATATGAATGTAGCTCGAAACGGATTTGCAAAAATCGGATTTCATGTAGCTCGTTGCCGTTCAGACTATTTAAATATGATCGGATTTCAATCGGATTTGCAGAAAAACCGGATTTGGGCTGACAGCCTGAACGAGGCTTTATTGATTTCATCCGAATGGAATCTTATCTCCACTCGCATTAGTTCAGGAGGAGTCAAACCACACACATTCACATGAATAAGAATCATTTCCTGTAGCTTTAGTCATCCTGACCTGAATCACCAAATCTGACTCTGGAAATCTGAACTGGACAAAAGACTCAGTTGTGTTATACTTTTTTAAAGACAAGATCCATTTGTCTTCTTGGCCCAAACCCACATCTGATTGCTCCTATACTCCTAAAAATGAAGGTTCTTTATTGGCATTGATTATTCCATGAAGAACCTTTAACATCCATGGATCCTTTCAAATGCACAAAAGGTTCTTTAAAGTGGAAAAAGGTTGTTTGGGTTTTAAAAACGTTCTTCACTCTAAGAAAAAAAAAAATGGAACTTTTAAGAACTGTTCACTGAAAGGTTCTTTGAGGAAGCAAAAATGCATTGCATTGCTGCAAAAACACCAAAGAGAATTATCACAGAAGCTGATTTATGAAATTCAGTATAATATATTAGACAAATTATTAATTATTAGGGGTGTAAAAAATACACTCATGATTTGGTTTGACATATACTCTCATGATATTTACAACAAAAACAAAATGTTTAAAATGGTAGAGTTCACATTTTTTATTACCAGGGTTAATATATTTAACTAAGGCTGAAACTAAAAGTAAAGCATGTATTTTCACTGCTTGAATAAAATAAATGTTAAATGAAATAAAATATAAAAGAAACTTCTTATCCACTATAGCATTATTTTTCTTATAGCATACCTCTTATAGTTTTTAATCAATACTTTGACATTTAATTTTTTATTTATATTTAACTATAATAACTAGGGATGCACCGATACCACTTCTTCCAGTACTCGCCCGATACCGATACTTTATTTTTGGTACTTGAAACTTTACCGCCGTCTTTGTCTGAATATGGCACTTATCACATGCTGTGTGGTATTGGCGTTTGGTATCGGGGCATTTTAACGAGTACGAGTACAGGAGCTCAGTATCGGGCCCGATACCGATACCAGTATCGGTGCATCCCTAATAATAACCCTCATAGCATATATATATATATAAAATCACTGAGACACTATTATAGATTTTATTAATAATAATCAAAATGTTATTTTATTTTCATATTTTCTGTTTTCATTTTAATGAAAGTTTTAGTAATTTTGTTGTGCGTTTTTGTCATGTCTATTACTTTTTTTATTTAATTGTACTAGTTTATTCATTTTATTTCAAATAACCAAAGTTTTCATTGATTTAGTTAACTATAATAATTAATTAAAAAACACCAATAATATACTTATATTCAAAACACAATCTGTGAACACAACTCTTAATATTTTACAGTGTTGCTTCTCAAGTTGCATCTTGTTTTCATTTATCAAATTTCATCAACATTTTTTTTATTGTGATAAACTGTGACTTAATATATTGCTACACCCATGTTAACGGTCAATGGCGGTTAACTTCAGCAAATGATCCTGTGCCCTAGATTAGTTTTCAGACAGGTGTGGTTCCTCGAGCACCCGACTTCACAAAACAAGCGTTCACACCAACCAAACAATCAAACTGCTGACGTCAAAGGGGCAAGAGCTCTGGTGTGAAGCGCCCTGAATCTCTCTGGTCCTCATGGATGCGGTCTGGAGTTCACAGGCATCTATCAGCCGCGCACACGCCCAGCACATTAAACCACTCTCAATATATGTCCCTCAGGGGGGACGTAGCTCTCGGGCCATATTGTGCTCCATCGGACCTCATCTGGAAGGAATGGAGGTCTTTGGTTCGCATCCAGAAAGAAATACGGTTGCTGGATGAGGACCAAACATCTTCAGTCTCGGGGTCGAGGATGTGCAAGGAGAGAATCACAGAGCATGGCTCAGATCTGTAATCGCTCGCAATGAACAAATCAACAGTAATGAGAGGATGTTTTTTGAAGCTTGATACAAAAGATGCACTTTGCGCATTGTTTAACTGACTATAACTGACACACATGCACACACAAATAATAAATAAAAGTTTGTTATATATACACACACACACACTCATACATATATATATATATATATATATATATATATATATATATACACACACATA